GTTAGAGCTGGAGGGTAACTATGACTTGATCTAATGACATTTCATTATTTTAAAGATGAAGAAATAAATGGAAGCCTGGAAAGCAGAATTGTCCTAAAGTAATTGAGCTTATAAGTATCACAGTTGGGATGAGAACCCAAATCTTTTAAGTTCCAGACTAGTTTTCTGTTCACCATCTTGTACCACTTTTTGTTTGCATATATGCTATTTTAGCTGTAGCTGTCATTTTTTGTAATGCTGAGATAAATGTTTGAGTGATACTTGTTTAAATAATTTCCACTAAGAAACTCACAACTCTGTCATTAAAAAGATCCTATTCAAATGGTTATTAGTAATTTGCATGTTTAATAAAATATCTGTGGTCTCTTTAAGAATACACAGGTATCAAATCAAGGGTAGCTAAATGATGAACTTGAATCAAGTGAGTCTATGTTGCTTTGCATTTGTCTAGAGGTAATTGATAATCGATGAGTATACAGTCCTCAACTTTGACACTTATCTGAAACTATTACTTTTATAAGACAGAGAAGTTTTAATATTTGTTGCAACTTTTCACTTTACAAAAAAAAAAGGAAAGCCTTGTTTTTTGCATGAAACAGTACATTTCTTCCTATTCATCCATTCACTGAACATTTGTCATGTGTCTAACTACGAGCTAGTCATTGTATATACAAAGACAAAAAAAAAATAATCCCTGCCCTCCAGGATACTCTTTTAAAGAGCTCAATGTCATCATAGGTTATTTAAAAACAACTATATTTTTTTTTCTGATTTTCTCCCTTCTAGTTGTAGAATACCAGCACCTTTGCACATAGACTTTTGTTTATTAGCCAACTTATGCAGAAACAGAGTATATTTTTTCCTATCTTATCCTCCCTTCTAAGAATTTAACTAAACATTTTTAGCAATCCCAACTTGGCTTTTTGATGGTGTGGGCCTTCTTGACATACTTCACACGTGACACTCCATCACAGGACTCCATAACTTTTTATTAGTATCCCACATCTCTGGAATATACTCCTTCCTCATCTCTACTGTAGAATCCATCTCCTCCTTAAAGATGAAGCTCATGTATCACCTCCTACATTAGCCATTCCTTATTCCTCCTTCCCATCCCACTGACTGTTAGTGTCCTTTCTCTCTCCCTTGTATTTATATTTATTCTGCATATATTTATTCCCTATATGCTAATATATGTGTATGTTGTCTCTCCAGAGAGAGTAGATTTTATTCTTTGTATCTTCAGTGCCTAACGCAGTGTTTGGCCCATAATAGGTGATTAATGAATACAGATTGCTGATCAATGGATAAGAATTCCTCTCAGTAACTTTTCCATCTTTCTTCCCTTATGTTTCTTTCCTTTTCAAGGCCACTTTGACCACAAATGTTCATTTCTGCAATCCTTCATTCCTAGTTGGGGTATTAGTTAGGCTCATACTACTGCTCTGTTGTTTTTTTTTAATCAGTTGTGCATATAGAAATTATATTTTGAAGCCAAGCTGTTAACAAATTGGCTACTGCCAAGATAAGTGTGGCTATTAGACCATGCCAAATGTGGAAAAACATCTGCCATTCAAAACAGAAACATTAATATACTTTGAAAGAGAAGATGCAAATATGGAGTTACTTTTTCTTGTAATAAGTAGAATAAAAAAGAAAATACAACACTTGCTCAGGTGAGATCTAGTTAAACTGTCCTTTCTTTTCTAACTGATGAAGCCATGTTCTCAAAGACTATCTCAGCAGCACCTTCTGTTGAGTATCATTGATTTGTTTTATTGTGTTTCCCTGAAGACAGAGTCAATAAATCTAATTTATTTTGAAAGGCCATAAATGTTTCTTTATATTTAAGGACTAATTGGTCCATTTGCAGACAGACTCATCTTTTTGACAAATAGACCATTTTCTGAATATAAGCCATAACATGCTCAGGCATTTCTCTATGCCTGGAAACCCTCCCTTCCCTTCTTTGCCTGTTGAAGCTCTACTTAGAATTAAATGTTGTATGCCAAAGCTACCTCCTCCATGACACTTTCCCCACCTGTTCTGCTCTTTACTTTGTAACTCTCTAATGAAGTTATATTATGTTAGCGATATCTGTGTTAATGTTTCCCCCCAAGTCCCTAAAATTCATGAGAGCCTAAACCCTGTCTTGAATCAGTTTTGTATTGTCAAGATACTATGCTAGAATCTTCAATAGATACTGTCAACTGGATGGAACTGGCCTTTAACGGGTGGCTGGAGTTTCACAGAGCAGGATAGAGACAAAAGAGCGGGAATGAAACAGAAATTTAATTTCAAAGTGAAGGAAATGGTTTGCAAGCAAGAATACATGTGATAGAGGCCCCCCTAGTGGTGCAACCCAAAGCAGTTGTGGGAAGATTTCAATATTTATACCAATGGCTACAGCTGTAACAATGAGGGGTAACAGTGACAATGTGACAAGTTTGATTCATGGCAGGGCTTCATTACCAGACTATGGATTCAAGACAGGGTTCAGGTTCTCATGAATCTTGGGGGCTTGGGGGGAAACATTAATACAGATATCACTAATATAATATGATAACTACATTAGAGAGTTACAAAGCAAAGGGCAATATGAAGTCTAAGGCAGAATGATATCCTGCACATGACCTCTAGGAAAATATTTTTAAAACAGTTGTGTATATGTATTGTCTTTTTCAATCCTATTTCTCCTATTTATTTTCAACAATATGTGGGGAGAGAGAGAAGAAAGAGAGAGAGAGAGAGGGAGAGAGAGAGATTTCATCTAGGAATTTCCTATGCCAATGAAATCACAAGTTCAATGTATATATAATAAGGATGAGTATGTATATACACAGAGTCACTCACTTATGTTTATGTGTGAAAATGAATTAGAGAAGGAAAAATGAAGGACTAAATATGTGATTTTTCTTCATTGACCATCTATTTTCCAACTTCTACTTATTCTTTAAAATGATAGGAACAACAAAACTACTCCATAGTTATCTTCCCTAACAGAATAAAAAAAGAGAGAGAGAGAGAAATGAAGGGAAGCAGGAGAAACAATCAAGTGGCTTGACCAGAGATGTTCTAGCATTGAAAAGGCTAGATTGATTGAGAATTGATTGAGAATAGTCTATAGAAAAATCCCATTTTATAACATTTATTTAGAGTCAAAAAATAAAATTAATATATGTATGAGGTATTAGAATAAAAAGAGTTAGGTTTCAATGCCTACTTACCTGAATTTTTGAGAAGTTAAAAGTTTGCTTTACTGTCTAATGGTAGACAGAGAAAATTTGACATCATTTTAAATTAGTGATTTTCTAAGTCCATACAATTAACATTTTCCTTCATAATTATATTTGGAAATACAATGCTGTTTTCCCCCTTCTTAGCACATGTGACTGCTATAGTTCTCTTCATTCTTCTTTTTTCTTCAGAAAAAGGTACAAATTAATATTTGAAATTAATAGTGAATTTACCATTATACCATTTGTTTCTGATATGAATTTATTTCAGCTTGGCAGAAGACCTAAAATTATAAAATACTAGAAGGGAAATAAAATCAGTTCAGTATAAATGCTCAATTTAAAATTTTTGTGACGTGTATTAGTTCTGTCTATATGACAATGCTAAAATAGTATTGTTGTTGTTGTTTTTTTCCTAAGGTTACATTCTAGAAACCAAATTAAGGGGCATCAGTTCCTATAACCAAACACTTAGAGAAGTCATTTACTAATATAATCTTGAAACATTATTTTTATTTCACATGTAATTTGGCATTCTGATTGCTTGTTGAAGAAGGATCTCAGTTTTATGGAAGCTCTTCTCCTTAAATATATAAAAGACCTCTAATTTAAACAGAATCCACAGACTGACCATTCTGAAGCTTTGTGCTTATTTGAGGAGTTGGATAAATTAAGAGCATAAAATTGAATTCAGATATAATCTTTGGGGAATATTTTTCTTAGAGTATATGAACTACATAAATTACTTCTTTTATAACCTAGTTTGCCACACACTTTACAAGAGGTAAAACTCTTGTTTGCTTTATTTCTGAGTTGCATAAAAAGGATTTTTATGTGTGGCCTAGTCTATAAATAATCTGCATTGTCTCCCTTTATGTGTTTGTACGTGAATTTTATAAATATGTATATTTGTATATACAAAATACAGATAAATGTGTAATATTAAGATATAGCCATAAATTTAATCATGTTATTTTAAGCAAGCAGGACAGAACTAATATTTCTAAAGAAATGCGGGAAGAAAATGTGTAGTAATCCATATATGCATGTTCACACATATATATTCATGTTATATACTCTTGATAGAACCCTTCAACATCTTGTAGCTAACCTACTAATTCTTATATCATGGTTTTCTAAGATGTGGAAATAAGTTTGTGAATATAAATCATTTCATTTTTTTTTCTTATGGTGAATCCTATCCATCAAATATACAATGAAAAAGATCTATATTTTACAATACATAAGAAGCATTTGGGATTAAAGCATTGGGGAATGTTGTATTACTATACAAATTTTAAAAAGTTCACTGTAAAATCCTTGCTAATGAATGATACATTAAGAATCCATGACAGATGAAAATATATGGTGCAAGTGTGTCAAATTGGGAAGAGTATTGTAGCACCAAAGACCTTATATCATTATATAATTCCAAATGAACACAACAGGCAGGTTGTTAAGGCTTTTTAGTTGATCCATTTTGTACCAGTGTTGAGACTGATTATTCTATTATAGCATGATGATTTTATTTTTCGATATAAATACAAGAAGAGCAAACATTTAGGAAAAGTTTCACAATTGTAAAAATAATTATTGTGCACTAAATACCGCAAAGCTGTGCTATCACTTAATTTAGTGAGATTGATGCCAATGGAAAGTTAAAAGAAAAAAAATAAAGGGAGGAGGATTTCACATCCTTAAGTTGATAGTAAGGAATGGTCTGAGCTTCTATGGGCTAACTAATTGCCTGTGTATTTTGTCTAGGTGTTGAGGGAAAGCTAAGAGAATGAAGGCTCTAAGTACCCTGTGGAAGCATGATATGGCGGTGCAGTGCTGGTGCTGAATTGTTCTCTCTGATGGCTCTATGGGAGTGGATAGCACTGAGTCTTCATTGCTGGGTTTTAGCAGTTGCTGCTGTTTCGGATCAGCATGCCACAAGCCCCTTCGACTGGCTCCTCTCTGATAAGGGACCCTTCCATCGCTCACAGGAATACACAGATTTTGTGGACAGAAGCCGGCAGGGATTTAGCACAAGATACAAGATTTACAGGTATGAAGCAAAGGGAAAGCAATTACAGAGATATCATCCTAGAGTTTGTATATAAATAACGACAGATTTCTTTAAGGGAAAGTTTTAGATGGGGGACTAAATCACATAGTCCTAGAAAAATCATCATTGCTAAATGTATATGTAGTTATTCTATATCGTATTTCACAGACATGTTTTCCCCTTTTTAAAAGTATTTATTTAAAAGTACTTCGAAAACAAATTGAATGGCAGTGACCACTTGTGCCTGACAAATTCTAGAATGTTTCACCTCAACCTAGGCTTCCAAAAAAAATTAAAATTATAAAAGTAAATAGCTGTGGAATCTGGGAGCTTTGCTTCTCTTTAATATTGTTTTGCCTTTATACCTTATGCTCTGTAAGAACAGTTCGAATAGAAAAATATTCCAAGCTGGTTATTGAGGAGTGAGACCTCTTAAGATGTTGAAATTGTAACTCCAATAAGTAAAAATACTGATGACTTCAAAGGCTTTGGTGAGGAAGCATGTGAGGAAAGGCAGCAGGAAAGGAAATAATCAAGGCTGAGATGAACCAGAAAAGAAAATTTTCACTTTTCAGTTGTTATTTTGCATCACACTTTGGGTATGTCTCAAAAAAGAAGTTAATGTTTTCATCCAATGTTGATTGATGCTTTACCTGCCATTTCCCCAAATCCAATCAACCCATAGCCTAGAGGAATACACAAGTGGTCATTTGCTTTTAATTCATGTAATAGTTGTATATGAAGCTTTTTTTAAAAAAAAATCAGTAGATTGATGACTTATTGAATTTAAATTCTAAAATAGGATAGAATTGGTTCAGAATTTGTACTCATTTATTTGTATGTGTACGTGTGTGTGCATGTGCACGCAGTGTGCCCGCGCATTATGTTACCGTAAGATTTACTTTTTGTTTTGTGTGCACCAGAGGGCACTGTGCTGCAGGTCAATATTTATATAAGGTTTTGCACAGCACATTGAGAAATAGTTTGTAAATCATCTCAGGAATTCAATTTGTGGAAGAAACTACATAGAACAATGTCAAAGTCCAGTCTATAGTTATCATTCATTTTTAAAGAAACAGTTATTTAATCTATATAGCCAGAATATGTGTTTATTACCTTCTAGCAACCTTGAAATGCATTTTTTTCTGTCAAAAACAAAAACAAAAAAGGAATAGAAAGATCTTAGTCTCTGAAATCGCAGTTGAGTTTTCCATAGACCAGTTATGCTATTGGAATATAAAAAGCTGGTACACTCTTTGTTTATTTGTTAGTGGGTCATTAGCTGGTTTTGAAAACATAATACCTTATATTTGGCTTATGTGCTATCAAATTTCTTAGTTTAAACAGTAAGAATACCTTATGTTTCTGTAACTTGGACAGAATTTTAAAGAGAGAATTAAAATAAAAAAGAATGAAATTAATTCATTGGGATCAATATCAGGAGGATTGTGATTTTTTTTGTATTAGTCTGTTTTTTATTTTGTTTGTGTATGATTTATTTTATGTGGCATATCAGTCATTCAGTTATGCATTTTTAAAATAGTCAAATTTCTGCTTTATAACAAGATGAATTTTTAAAAAATAATAGTTTTTAAAATAGTTTTGAAATTCTTTATTAAGGCCATACTTACGTACTATTGAAATCACAGTCCAACTATCTACTTGAGTTTCCAGTGAACATTCTATTAAGGACCACTGGAATTAATATTAGGGAAGATGGGGAAAAATTATGACTTTTAAATTTCCATTATGATTTTACTGAATATTATCTGTGAAAACACCAGGATACAATTGAAATATAATCCAAATCTTATATGCAAAAATGGTCTTTCCTTTCCCTCTGGTTTTAAACCTCTATTTCTGTGTGTGCATTTTAAATTTCATGATCTTTTCTCACTCTCTCTCTATAATAATTCTGTCTATTTCTTAAGCTTACATCATCTTTTCCCTTAGTAATGGCTTAGTACTTACACAGAGCATGCCTCCTTAAAGGATGCTGGTGGTTTCACTTGCAGTTTCATTTATTTGATGTACTTGACTTCTCTCCCTGTGTAGTTAACCTTAAAAATGAGTTTAGTGAATGATTCTTTGTTTTTATTTTTCTTTTCCTGGCAGCAGGACATTCCTTCCTCCCCCAGCTCCAACCCCCCTCCCCAAAAATAACCAAACAACTCTTCAACTTGAAACTGTGTTTAATTCTAGTTGGTTTAAAACTATCCTATATATATGATTAGTTGTGCTTTTGCTATGGTATATTTTTTCCAAGGCTCTTTTTATAGTTTACCTTAATTTCATTAAATACTTTCTACATTTTAAAAAATATTTGTTACCACTTTCTCTTTTAGCATCATTCTTTCTCAGAAAGATAGCTAAGTTCTACAGAGATTGTAAGCCTTTCAAGACACATTTAAACAGCTCTTTGATAAAATGAAATAATATTTGCAAATTGATTTGCAATTTTTTTAGTGCTAGATAAATGCTAGCTATTATTGTTTTTGTTGTTTTGTTTTCAGTCATGCCTGATACTTTGTGACCCATTTTGGGATTTTCTTGGCAAAGATATTGAAGTGCTTTGCCATTTCCTTCTCTATCTCATTTTACAGGTGAGAAAACTGAGGCAAACGGAGTTAAGTGACTTGCTCAGGGTCACACAGCTAGTAAGTTTCTGAGGCTGGGTTTGAACTTGGTTCTTATTTACTCCAGGTTCAGCACTCTATCTACTGTGCAACCTAACTGTCCTTTTGTTGTTATAATTATCTGATTTGGGAGTTCTGTATAGTGATAAAGCTCACAAATAATTGAGGCCTAGCCATTCTTTGTGACTTTTATCCATGCTCTCTCATAAATTCAAAACAAGAGTTTCACATAACTTTTTGGAGACCATCTTCACTTTTTCCAGACATTGTTAGTATGCTAGTAAGAACATTTTGGCTGTTCCACTGTTTTCTGTCATCCTAGCCATGTGAGCAGCCCATCATTCTCTTCACATTATCCAATGTCTTGATGATGTCTTCAACCAGTATTCTTCTTTGGATGTCTTTATTATATGTTGTAACCTGTTCATACCCACCAGTTATCTCTCCATCATCTTCCGTGTGTTGTTCAAGTTAAGTCCTTTGGAGGAAGTTGTATTCCAGGTAACAAAAGTGCTATGTGACAACACTGGTAGAATGCTAGATTTGAAATGATGGGCCTTTGATTTCATGTAAAGCCTAGGGGCAACAAGGATGCTTTGTGATTTTTCACAATTAAGAGAAACCACTGTCCTTCATCTTTTCAATTCTGGACCCAGGTCATTTTCCATCTGTACTGTGTGACCAGTTATATATGAGGTCATTTATGAACAAGAGCATCAGGAAGGTGTCCTCATTCAAAAGGAATCTGTCTTTAACCTAAACACTGCTGAAATTCCTCCGGTACAGTGGTGATCCACATGCCTTGCCTGATGTTTGTTATCAGAGAATCACTGAAAAGTTTTTGTCTTATATTTCAATGAATCATGAATGATGTTAATATTTGTTCTGGAAGGACCTTGTTAAGAGCCTACACAGCAACATTTTGTTATACTGAATCAAAATGCTTTTTTCTTACCAAGCAATAAGCACAATGGAATCTTAATCCTGTATATTTTCCAGGGAATTGTGAAATGGTAAAACAATGGTACATGTTCGCTATCACTTGCAATAACTTTCTTGTTCTCTATAGATACTTTCATCAGAGATGCCCTTGGTTTATGCATAGATGATTGTTGTAAAGATTTTGTATAGGCATATATGTGGTTAGTTGCTGATGTTGTCTTGGTCACTTTTTATTGATATGATTTGGCATTTTTCCATGCTTTTAGTGTCTTCTTCCCATTAAGATACTATATAGTAGTCACTCAGTGTCTTCACAATTGTATAGCATGGATCTTCTCCATATGTGCTTGGTCCAGGGAGCTGCTTTTCCTTTCCTGTTTTTTTTTGGTAATGTTTCTACCACTTCTATAAGCAACTCCAGGACTGTATGGTCTAAGGGTAGTAGTCCCATTGCCTTTAATAAAAGTCTAAGTTAACAGTCTTTTTGTTTTCTATAATGTAAAAAATATTTTATTTTGTTGAAATCCTTTCCATTTTTTTCTCTTTGTAGTCTACTTTCATCCTTAAATGCCCTTGGGATAGCTTTGCTCAGTTGGATATCTTTCCAAGCTTTCTTTAAACAGGTTTTATCCTCCATTGCTTACTGAGATGATATTGCCCATAATCATCTGTCATCCTTTTTCTGTAAGATTTTACAAACAAGTTTATATTCTAATATATTTGCCTTTGGCAGCAGTATTTTTTTCTTTTTGGTAATTAAGTTGGCAATTTATTGTCTAAGATGCTTTCTGGGTTTTTGTGGCAGTTAACCTACATTGCTTAAACTCCTGGATACAATTATTATTTTATGAAAATGTTATTTCAAGATACATATTCTTCATTTCTTATATATTTTGAATTCTTAAATGTGTAATGACACAGAATTATTTTACACTTGATTCCTAATTGAACAAATTGTTGTTACTCTACTATTGATTTATGAACTTCTAGGAAGCACAAATAGGAAACTAACATTTGTTCCATTTGAGCATACTTTGAGTAAAAAAGCAATTATTTTTCTTTCCTTTTGTAAGGTAAATTTCATTTACACAAACAATACTGTCCCTTCTGTTCCTCACCTCAAATTGAAAAAGAAAGAAAAACAACTATGTTATAGAAATGTATAGTTAAGTAAAAAAAATCCTGGACTGGCCATTTCCAAATAATCTCTCAGTCTACACTCTGAATTCATTATTTTTCTATCAGGAGATGGGTAGTATATTTCATTATATGCCGTCTGGAATTGTGATTTGTCATTGCATTGGTCAAAGTTTCTAAAACTTACAAAGTTGTTTATGTTTACAGTATTGTTGTCACTGAATAAATTGTTCTCCTGGTTTTGCTAACTTCACTTTGCTTCAATTCATTATGTCTTTTCATATA